GACACACAAAAATGCACGGTCCAGCTTTCTCAGGACCGTCAATGCAGCATTCGAACCCTGGTCAAGCTCATCCGAAGGAAGCGATCCTCAACGCTGGCTACACTCTCACAACTGCTAGGAAAGATGGTGTCATGCCTCGCAATCATACCTTGGGCAAGGCTACACTCCAGAGAGCTCCAGTGGTTCCTACTTCCGTTTCAAAGAGTGGGGATAGGCTCATCAAACCGAAGAGTGAAGGTGCCACCAAAGGTCCTGAGGTCACTCCAGTGGTGGTCCTCCCCAGCGATGGGGAAGGGACACTTGTTCAGGGAAGCCAACCAAGTCACCCTTACAACGGATGCCAGCCTATTCGGCTGGGGAGCGCACCTGCAATCACAGCTAGCACAGGGTCAATGGTCAAAGAAAGACCTAACACACAACATAAACTGGCTAGAACTCTTAGCCATACACCTGGCCCTCCGTCACTTTCGCAGCGCAGTGGCGCATCGACACGTGCTCATACTCATGGACAACGTGGCGGCCAAAGAGCATGTCAACCGACAAGGAGGCACGCGATCCAGGGCCCTCATGAATGAAGCACAAGCGATGGGAACCTGGGCAGAGAACAACCTAATCTCCATCAAGGCCGAGCACATCTCAGGAGAAGCCAATCGCCAGGCAGACTTCCTGAGCAGGACAACAATGGACCACTCAGAGTGGAGCCTGCACCCTGCTCTCTTCAGAGAGGCAGCAGAGAGATTCGGCCATCCAGTGTTGGACCTGTTTGCCAGTCCAAAGAATACTCAGCTTCCGAGGTTCTTCTCTCGTTTTCCGACACCAGGAGCAGAGAGAGCGGATGCACTCCGAGATCACTGGCCGAAAGGACTGCTGTATGCATTCCCACCTCTTCCTCTGATACAAGCAACCATCAGGAAGATATTGCAGGAACAGGCGGAGGTGATACTCATTGCACCGCACTGGCCAAGATGGCCGTGGTTTGCCGATCTCGTAAACCTATCTACATCTCCACCGTGGAGGATTCCACACGACCAAATTTCCCTCAACCAGGGGTCCCTGCTACATCCAGACCCACAGTGGCTCCAATTGACCGCCTGGCACTTGAGCGGAGCCTCCTAGAGAGAGACAACTTCTCAGAAAGAGTCATTAGGACTCTCCAGGCCTCTAGAAGGCCTACAACTAATAGGATCTATGATTCCACTTGGAAAAATTATTGCGGTTGGTGCAACAGGCAACAACTAGACCCATGCAACATCTCTATCCCAGATATCTTAGACTACCTAGCGGAAGGTCTGGATAGGGGGTTAGCACCCAATACAATTCGTAGACAGGTGGCTGCCCTATCAACCATTCTTACCTACGGCAACTCCGAAACTCTAGCCAGACACCCAGTGGTGTGATCCTTTGTAAAGGGCGCATCTAACAGTAGGCCACCTGTGGTACACAGATACCCCTCCTGGGATCTACCTAAGGTCCTACAGGCAATAACCTTACCTCCATTTGAGCCTGTCAGGACCTGTGACCTACAGTACCTGACCCTTAAGGTCGCCTTCTTAGTCGCTGTTACCTTAGCAAGACGCATCTCAGAACTAGCAGCCCTGTCAGTGAGGGAGGACCTTTGTACCTTCCACACAGACAGGGTGGTGTTACGTTTGGACCCCTCCTTCGTACCAAAGGCCAATTCCTTATTCCACAGAGCACAGGAGGTGGTACTACCAAACTTTTGCCCCGAACCGTCCCATGAACTGGAACGCAAGTGGCACACCTTAGACGTTCGCAGAGTTTTAAAACAGTACATCAAGCGAATGGCACCCTTCCGTAAATCGGAAGCACTGTTTGTCTCCTTCCATTCTCACACAAGAGGTCGGAGGGTCACGGCATCCACAATCGGTAGATGGATTAGAAGGTGTATAGCGGAGGCATACAGGGGACAGTCCTTGACGGTCCCCAGATGAATCACTGCACATTCCACGCGCAGTGCTGCAACCTCAGCAGCATGGGCAACTCAGGCTTCGATTGAAGAAATATGTAGAGCGGCGACGTGGATGTCGCCTTCCCCTTTTATAAGACACTACAAATTAGACAGATTCGCATCTGCAGAGGCCTCCTTTGGCAGGAGGGTACTCCAGTGCATAGTATCAGAGAGTGGGACACAGGCCCAGACGGCATCCCACCCACAAGGACAGTGAGGCTTTGGTATGTCCCATTGGTGGATTCTCCACTCGTCATACTGGAGAAGGGGCGTTGGTCTTACCTGAACGCCTTTTCTCAGTATGACGATGGAGAATCCACTCCCACCCTTGAGGCCAGTCAGGTCCTGTGAGGGGAGAGGATGGAGTCAACACAAGAAAACATAGCCAAACAGCTTTCGCCTCATCGAGACTGGGAAAGGGAGGTCCCAGGAGGAGAGGCGGAGCAAAATTGGACGACTAGTCTATGGGCAGAAGACGAAGTTAACCCATTGGTGGATTCTCCATCGTCATACTGAGAAAAGGCGTTCAGGTAAGACCAACGCCCCTTTCAATTTACACAAAAAAGTGAAAGAAGCAGCAGGCCTCTACAAAAAGAAAACCAACAACTTAGTTGACAAAGAGGGGAAAATTATCTTAGATGAGGATGAAAAACTAAAAAGATGGAAGGAATATATTGAAGAACTTTTTGAGGACACTAGGGATGATATAGATATGGGAAGTATAACAACTGAACCAAATATCACTATGGAAGAAGTTGAACATGCAATAATAATAGCAAAAACGAGAAAAGCCACAGGACCTGATGATATCCCAGTAGAAATTTTAAAATTGCTGGAAGACAATGGGAAGAATTTTTTACTGCAGCTCTTCAATCAGATATATGAAACAGGAAAGATACCAAATGATTGGCTAAAATCAACCTTTGTGACAATCCCCAAAAAAATAAATGCAAAGAAGTGTACTGAATACAAAACAATAAGCTTAATGAGTCATGCTCTGAAAATATTCCTGAGAATAATTCACACAAGAATATACAACAAAATTGAAGAGCGTCTAGGTAACACACAATTTGGTTTCAGAAACAATCTTGGTACACGAGATGCGCTGTTCAGCATTCAGGTTCTTGTACAGCGTTGTAGAGATGTCAATCACAGTGTTTACATGTGCTTCATTGATTTCGAAAAAGCTTTTGATAAAATAAGACACAGCAACCTATTAGAAATCCTGAAACAAGGGGGACTAGATGACAAAGACATCCAAATAATAAAGAATCTGTATTGGCATCAGGTAGCAAATGTGAGACTAGGCCAAAAATACTCCGCTGATGCAGAAATAAGAAGAGGGGCCAGACAGGGATGTATTCTGTCTCCACTGTTGTTCAATATCTACTCTGAGTCAATCTTCAACAAGACACTGGAGAACATCAATGCCGGCATCAAAGTAAACGGTGTTTGGATCAACAACTTAAGATATGCTGACGATACAGTTCTGCTTGCCAGTAAGCATGAAAACCTTCAGCTCCTCATCAACAGAGTCACAGAAATATCTGAAAAATACGGCTTGAAGCTTAACACCTCAAAAACCAAGATCGTGGTCGTCAGCAAACAACCCATTAATTTACCACCAATAAATTCAGAAGGAATACCACTAGAAAAAGTTGAAAGGATCACACACCTCGGTTCCAATTTACATGAAAGCTGGGACATGACCGTTGAAGTAAAGACAAGGATAGAAAAAGCCCGAACAGCATTCTTCAAAATGAAAAAGGTCTTCTGCAGTCACGACATAAGCCTAAGACTGAAAATCAGGCTTGTCAGATGCTATATTTTTTCTATCCTGCTTTATGGAGTAGAGAGTTGGTATCTGACAGAAGGCCACCTGAAGAGACTAGAAGCATTTGAAATGTTGATTTACAGGCGGCTGTTACGTATAAGCTGGGTTGACAAGATCAGAAATGAGGAGGTGATCAGCCGCCTGGGAAAGCCAAGGGAAATCATCAAAACAATTAAAAAACGAAAATTAGAATATTTCGGACATGTGATGCGACACCCAGAAAAATACGGCATATTCCATTTAATCCTCCAGGGAAAGATTGAAGGCAAATGAGGTCCAGGCAGAAGAAGAACATCGTGGCTTCAAAATCTAAGGGACTGGTTTGGACAAAACTCAACAGCACTTTTTCGTGCGGCTGCTGATAAAAACAGGATCGCCAACATGATCACCAACGTCCGATAACGGATATGGCACAAGAAGAAGAAGAAGTTCTCAACTTACAACAGTTCCTTTAGTGACCATTCAAAGTTACAACGGCACTGAAAAAAGTGACTGACTGTTTTTCACAGTTATGACTCTTGCAGTATCCCCTTGGTCACATGATCAAAATTCAGATGCTTGGCAACTGACTCATATTTATGACAGTTGCAGTGATCAACTTTTGCGACCTTCTGACAAGCAAAGTCAATGGGAAAGCCAGATTCACTTAACAACCGTTACTAACGTAACAAATTGCAATGATTCACTTAACAGTTGTGACAAAAAGGTCATAAAATAAGGCCAAATTCACAACAACTCTTTCACTTAGCAACATAAATTTCGGGCTCAATTGTGATCATAAGTCAAGGACTACCTGTAAAGGCCTAGACTCCAATTTTTAGAATCCTTCCTTTTTTTTAATAAAGTCCCTCAGGAGATGTTCTGGATATCGCCTATACTAGGGGTAGGCAACCTTGGCTCCCAGGAATTCTGGGAGTTGAAGTCCACGAGTCATAAAAGAGCAAAGGTTGCCTACCCCTGGCCTATACTGATGTAGATGGGGCTTGGAAGGGGAGTGGGTCTCAGCCAGTGCTTTTTTTGTAAACAAAAAAGGTGCCGGAACTCACACACGTCATACAACCCGCCTTGCCTACCCTACAAGGTTCCATCCAAAAAAGGTGCCGGAACTCCGTTCTGGGCGTTCTATGACAAAAAAAGCCCTGGTCTCAGCTAACATAGAATAAAACTCAATGTTTTTTTTCTCCTTCCAACAGGAAGAAGATAATGTCTCACAAAGGATGTCTCAGTATTACAAAATACTTCCTCTTTCTCTTCAACCTTTTCTTTTTTGTGAGTACATGGTGGCCGGCCAGTTGGATAGCCAGCTAGAGAATTATGATTTGCAGCCAGTTCATGAAGCTGTGTTTATGCAGGGTGGGAAAAGAGGAAAGAAAGGCTACCATACGTAGATGTATACTTTTTAAAACAATCAAACCAAAAATCTCTTCCCCCTTCTTCAGATCCTTGGAAGTCTGGTCTTCAGCTTTGGCTTATGGATACTTTTTGATCAAAATAATTTTGCTTCCACCCTTGGTAAGTTTCCATCTCCCTCAGAGACGGGCTTCCTTTTCTAAATACTGTAGAGAACTTATGATCATAATTGGGACTGTAAAAAATCATTGTCAAGTGGTGCGGTCATGTGACCACACCTAATTTTATGACCTTTTTTTGCCATCGTCATTAAATGAACTATCGTCCTCGGGTTTTTTATTAGTTTATAATATAAAATACAAAAATACAAAGGAAAATGTTAGGAAAATAGGGGAGGGAGAAGGAAAGGGAAAGGTGTAGGGAAAGGGGGAAAAAGAAAGAAAAGGCGTTGACTTCCAACTCCCTTTGGTGCAGTAAAATAAGATAATAGGATCAAACCTCAACTTCTTACTTTTACATAATACTATAAACTAGCCATTTCTATAACAACAAATCTAATCGGTAAAACCCAAAATCAAATTTTCATTTTTTCCCCACCTCAAGCAGAAGCGGTTTCCAAGTACAAACAAAAGTAATTGTGTGTTTTTTTCTTTAACAAAGGCAGTCAATTTAGCCATCTCTGTTAACTTCATCAATTTTTGCAGCCATTCATCCATTGTGGGAATCAAAGTGTCCTTCCATTTTTGTGCATAAAATAATCTTGCTGCCATCAACATACTGTATATAACATCAAAGTTTCTAAATTTTTTCCCCATTTTTTTCCTCACTATCTTGCTCGTTAAGTGAGATGTGTGATCTCCATTTCCAACCTTCCCTGCCAGCTTCCCCACTGACTTTGCTTGTCATAAGCTGGCAGGATGGTGCAACTGTTGTAAATACATGTCAGTTGCCAAGCGCCTGAATCTCAATCACATGACCGTCACAATGCTGCAGCAGTTGTAAGTGCAAAGATCAGTTATAAATCACATTTTCAATGCCATTTTGATGTTGAATAGTCACTAAGCGAATGGTTGTAACTCAAGGACTATGTAGCTCTTTTTCAAAAAACTTATGCTTCTTTGGATGTAGGCCCAGTAAACCAGGCTTGGTTCTTCCAAACATTTCTGTCAGTTGAGAAACAAGGAAAGAATAGAGACTGCTTATTATTATTGACTTCTTTTCTATCATTTGTACCTTTTCAGTTCTTGATTGTTCTGACCTGTTTCTTTCTTCCTTCACAGGGTCCTCATATTATGCTCTTAAAATATGGTCCTACGTTTTCTCGGGTGCGGGCATCCTAACTGTTGTGTCCTGAGCCTGCAAAAGCTGCCCGGGACCAGACTGAGCGGTGCTGGCCTTGCGCGCATGCGCAAGGCGGGAAAAGACCGCCTTGTGATTGGTTGGATTTGCCCGGGGATCAGAAGGTATAAATAGAGGCCTGCGTGCCTCTGCTCGGGTTGTTTGTAGATTGGAAGCAGAGAATAAAGACCTGTTAGAAATGCATCGTCTCAAGCGCCATTATTCTCTGGACTTAACACTGGCGACGAGGGTGGGATTTAGTCTAAACAGCTAGGGAAGCTTGAAGACTCACCCAAAGAAGTCCGGAAGAGGAACAACGGCGTTGAAGTCAGCGTTTATCCTGCCAGTACGAAATCGCTGGAGGGTGCGTGCGGCTGAAGAAAACCCTGTTCCTCGATCATGGCGAAAATTGGGCGTTTAGCGGAATTCGATGTCTCTCACCCCGAGAAGTGGGAATCTTACGTTGCAAGAGTCGAGACTTACTTCCGCGTAAACCAGATAAGGGAGGAAGGCTTAAAGGCTGCCACAATGTTGTGCGTTTGTGGGCAAGACGCCTTTGAGATCGCCGAGAACCTAATCGCCCCGGCCTCGCTGGAAACGGTGTCATACTCCGAT